TTGTTTTGTTTTGTTTTGTTGTTAAGTCAAAATGAGATATACTCTTTAATACTTAAACAAGTTTTTGCACTAGGCAAAATCTATCTTTTCCACCACTTTTCACTGTGAAATTATTTGTATACCTTTAACAGGGTATATTAAGTTTGCCATGGAGTTTGTAACACCCAGAACCAAGCGTTTGAGACCCTATAAGGTATATATATAAACGAGCAATATGTTAAGCTGAGACGATTTTCCCTAAGTTTTTAAGACATCGTTTTGAAATTTTGCACACGTCAGTTTCTGTTTGAAAAGATACTTATTTGTCGGAACTGCCGATATCGGACCACTATAACATATATGTAGCTGCCATACAAATTGTACGATCGGAATCATGTTTTTGAATGGAAAACTTTCTCATTCGACATTGTATCTTCACAAAAGTTGGAACAGGTTATTTTCTAAGATAATAACATAATATACGAAGAAATTGTTCAGATCAGCTTACTATAACATATAGCTGCTAACAAACTAAACGAAATCGAGTACTGGTATGGAAAACTTTCGCAGTTGACAAGATATATTCACGAAATTTGGTAAAGATTATTTTGTAAGGCAATAATGGAATCTCCGAAAAAATTGTTCAAATCGAATTACTATAGCATATAGCTTCCATACAAACCATACAGCCATACAGTCAAAAGAGGGTTGCACGTGCCACAAAACCACACATGAATATTAAATCTTTATTTGAATGCTGATTATTTGCACACAACTATAGATAAACGCATAGCAGTACGGAAATTGCACTCTTCCACAATTCATATCCCAACAGAAACCGCAAAACAACAGAGCACAGATAAATTTGCGCACAAAAAAGGTTAAAGGTGTGCTGCAGCAACAATCAAAATGTAAATCCCACAGGAAGAAAGTGTTAAATCGAAAAGGGAAATTAAACAGTTATTCATAACAGTTATCTCATGTTACGTAAAATACATTCACTTCCATCCTGTCTACATGTTTTACAACTTCTGTCCACTTTGTTTTTAGTATTTGCAGTGGAATCTGAGTATTTGTGCTACAATATTTAGTAATCCATTAGAGGAGCATACTAGCAACGCAAGTGTAATTAAGTTTCACAAAAAGTCAATATAGCCACATTTGAGAATATTCGAACATCAATTATTAGACATTACTGTAAATGAACGAAGGCAAGCAGGGAATGTGGTTGTTGCTGTGGCATGTAACCACTTACATGGCGTATTAGTCGAGTTGATTAAAAACCAATCATATGTGATTCAATGTGCATAAGTAACTATTCTGTATCTAGCACATGGGTACACATGTTAATTAACTGAGTTGGTGTTTGGTTTTCCCGAAAAGAGTACATTAATTTCGCCACCATGTTTTTAACACCCTAAAGGAATCGTTGGAGACGTTCTTAAGTATATTAATAAATGATCAGCGTGACGAGATACTATAGTTTCGGTACAGCCAAAATCTACTGTTTCCAAGATGGACGATGTGTTGTTTAGCATAAGAGCTTAACATACCTGAAAGAAGCACGCCTCGTCAGATTATAGAATATCGATTGATGATTTCATTGAACAGAGCTTTTTGGGATACTGTTTGAATATGTCAAGAAACACAGTGATCTGTTGCCTGGTTTCGAAATCTATGAGAATCAACTGCAGATTTCAAGAAACTTTCAGCCATGATACTGGTATGTTGGAGCAGACAGCAAATTGGGCATTAATCGAATTGAACTTTAGTATGATAGGGCACCAAAAATTCTCATAAATTCTCTTATATATACATATACATAATATCTAATCGACATAACCTCAACTTCAAAAAAAGTCTTGCGGTATTTTCGCTAGTTGACGCTGAGAGCGCGTAGTTCTAGTTTTATTCGTCGCATCGGGTTATGCTATACCTTTTTGGAAAGCTCATTTCGCGCGCTAACACGTGTTTGATTGATTGTCGTTTCTTTTAAGTCGTTCGTGAGTTATACCGTCGCAAACATGGAGCAAAATAAAGAGAAAATACGGCATATTTTAAAATACTACTACGATAAAGGCAAAAATGCACCTCAAGCCGCCAATAAAATTTGTGCAGTTTTATCAGTTTCCATTTCCACCGCACAATGATGGTTTCAACGTTTTCATTCTGGTGTAGAGGTGGTCGAAGATGCACCACGCTCCGGAAGGCCTGTCGTCGAAAATTGCGATAAAATCGCTGAATTTTTCGAAAGAGACCGACTTAGTAGCAGCCGTAGCATCGGTCAAGAGCTGGGCATGAGTCATCAAAAAAAAATTTTATGAACAATTGAAAATTCAATAAAAAATACCGCAAGACTTTTTTGTCAACGGAATTTTATTCTAACATTTCAAATGTTAAGTTATGTTTAAAGCTTTCGCAACATTAATTGGTGTTCTACATTTACGCACACACAAACAGATGCATGAGTTTTTAAAGAAATAAGTACATAAGTAGACTATCAACAATCAGGCAATCAAGAGTAAATCTGATCAATCGAATAATCAGCGTCCAGGAACGGACATGCAGCAAATCCATCACTTACGCACAGGGGGACATATACATACATATGTATGGAATGGTCACGCACAATGCAATGCAATTACAGAGTTGCCAATTAGCGCAACTGTCAGTGCCATTCAGTGCATGCACGCGGCACGATATATATGGTATGTATGTGCGTGCAACAATGATTGGATATTAATGCGGATAAAAGAGAAATTAGAATGCTGGCATCTGGCATAGATTGGCACTGATTAACTTATAAAACCAGCGGGGTGTTGGATTATCCTTATATCAACTCCATATATATTTTTCATATTAATAGTATATCTTGATTTAACTGAATTGGAATTAAGGGGCCTGGAATTTGATTATATAAGGTTTCATCTTAGATAGACTGTATAATTGCCTACCAGCAGTTACTGTGATTAAAAGCACATGATGGAACAGTATACTAACCCTCTCCAAAAAAATTTCAGTTTTCTTGTGTCAATATACGCAAATAACTGCAGACTTTAAATTTACCTCTAAAAATAATATGTGCAAAGTCTCTTCAGCAATGACTCAGTTCGTCATGAACGCTGTATAACAATCTAGCGATGCAAAAACAATTCCTGAGGTCCCTATAACCTCACTGGAAGTATATCGCCTTATTGGTGCTTTGAATATAGAAAGAGTGCTGGGCCTATAATAATATCTATAATATATAATAATAAAAAGTTGAAATCATRGGCCCCAGTGCTTACCTCTATAACTATTATGTTCCATTCCATTCCAGTGTATTATATGTATTATATTGAAATGGTGAAATATGCGACAAGGGTAAAAACGGTGTTAGCTGCCACCAAGTTTAAAGACTTTATACCAAATTTCTCTAGCATAAAATTAGCGACAAACGTTTTTATAGTTGGTTTTTATAGATTTCCCCATATTTACTCAAATAGCTATAGTGGCTATACCATTTGATCAAAATTTACCCGAACTGACAAAAAAAAAGTGTAATATTTAAATGCAAATCTTTATTGTTGCCTTCAAAATAGGTTCCCGAATCTACAAGGTTATGCCAATAATTAATCCAATTTCTTATAGACTTTCTATAAGCGTTGTCTCATCCCGACCTTGGTGCTTTCAGCGGCGAAGTTTTTTTTTCTGCTTCAGCATTGTCACGCTTTATACCCAAAACTTTGACCAAAACGTGTTAGTCGATTCATAAGAGATGTTAAAATCCTATATATCCTTGATATCAACACGACAATTTTCAGATGGATAGTTTAGAGGCCACAAGAAGTGAAAAAATGCGACGCTCTTAAAGTCAACCAACTAGCATTTGTGCCAATATTGAGTTTCATTCTTGCGTAAAGAATGTGTAACTGCATACTTGGCTGATTGGTGCAACTGACGGCTGCTGGCCTCTTTTTGTAATGCAGCTTGATATGTTGCAAATTGGCCGTGAACAACTGCAAAAGCTCGGTATTTTTTGGTAGTAGGAAAATGTGCAATGCACTTGAAAATTGAGTATGTAGGTAAACATAAATTTTAAAAATTTCTAAACCTACGAAATAAGGCTGAAGATAGTGAAAGTTTTTTCAAGGAAATATAATATATTTTTGAATAAGAAAAATCGCATCGCTTTATGCAATCTATACTCACTCGAAATGTAAAATCAACTGGAATTTATTCTTTTATAACTTCATATTTTCATCGAAAATACGGTGGCAACAGCAAGGGCGGGTATGTAAAAATATTGGTAACATTATTTCAAAATGTGCAGAGTCTTTTTTGAATTCTCTGAGAGCACTTACTATAGTAATGTATATATTTTTAAGTATAAGAAAGTAGCGATTCAAAAAACATAAATCCTATTGACTTTTTTTTAGAAAAATATACGAATTTTATCTGAGAATTTTTGCTTGAAAATTAGTGTTTTTTTCGATTTCAGATCGAAATAGGGTTTCATTTTTATTATTTATTTGTAAGTATTACGATCTGTGTGAAATATAAGAACGAAATTTCGTGAATGAAAATTTATTTTTGTACACAAAAATAATAAATTTGAGATTATGTTATGTTAGTATTAAAGTTGCAGATTTGTTTATTACCTTCGACTTTGGCCTATCCATTTTTTCTATAGAATACGTAGTTTTGCCGCAAATCGAAACTGTTTTTAAATCTTAAAAATTTGCTCAGGAGAAATCGCTCAAGCGCCTCAACCGATGGTGTAAAATTAGATGAAATCGGATGATAACCACGCCCACTCCCCATATAGCGGTTCCGTTAAAAGCTACTATAAGCGCGTTAAATCAATAAATACATACTACACATAAAGTTTTATACCTGAGATGATATAGGAAGGCTTTATATCGAATTCGACTGATATCGATAAAATTGACCTTGACATTTCTTCATTTCATATAGTTCAATTATAAATTCAATCTGAATCTTTCAATTTCAAAAGCGCGAATCAAGCACCATTTAATGTAACGGCATAAAACTTTACCCAAATAATGCGCTTAAAGTAGCGAGCTTTATGACCAAAAAGTGTTCAAGTCGGATCAAAGGTATTAAAGTCGCCAGATATCGTATATATGGATCAAGGTTCCAATTGCGAACTTTTCATCGAAAATATCGATCAATATGGGAGATATACATATCATAAAAATTCGGAGAAAATTCTTTCCTAATAACTTTAGACCCTTATGTCAAAAATGGATTGAATCAGATGAATAATTTCTTTAGCCTTCATATACCTCATTGAAAGATGTTCGATATTCCAGTTGAATTTTGGCAAATACTGGCCAATATGTGGGATATATAATTGTAATTCCGGAATAGTATATAAATATAAAGGTTGTAAGCTTTAAAAATTTCTGTTGAAAATATTTAAACTTTTAAACGAAAAATTATTTTTCTAAGCTTTAAACATTTCCCATACATTTGTCGTCTAAATAAATCTAACATTACATACAACAATATATAATATCAGACAAAGTCTGTAAAAATTAAGGTGCTTCCCTAAAAGTTTTAGCAGAAAGTTGAAGTCAGACACCCTACATTGTCAGTCTATGGCAGGCCTCTCCAACATACGGCCCCCGGGCCACCATCCGGCCCGCCATCTCTTAGAGTCTTTGGGCATCCCAATAATCACACATACAATCATACAGCATCATTGTATTATTCACCAAAAACAGCTATGTTGAAAAGTTCTAGACCTGAAACGCGTGATGGATAAAGTAGTGCAGACAATTAATTTTATACGCTCAAGAGGGCTTAACCACAGACAGTTCCAGGCTTTTCTGGCTGATGTCGGTTCAGATCGCGAAGACATTGTATACTTCAGTCGCGTTCGCTGGCTCAGCAGAGCAGCTACACTCAAACGGTTCTATTCCCTGCTGGACGACTTAAAGATTTTTCTTGACAACAAAGACCAAGAAATTACTTACTTTCCTTACTGATGAGCAGTTTCTGGCTGATCTGGCTTTCCTGGTTGATATAACTAAATATCTTTCTGATCTTAACTTGAAACTGCAAGGGAAGGACCAACTATGCACACAGTTATACGAACACGTTCTAGCTTTCACAAAAAAGCTTTTGTTGTTGGAAAAGCAGCTGGAACAAAAGCAGTTGATTCATTGGGAGACCTTATCTACAAGAAAGCAAGATACCTTGGATTTTGACAAGTACGTGTTGATGTTACAAAGATTAGGCAACGAGTTTGACGACAGATTCGCAGACTTCAAATCAAAACTCCCTGCATGAAAGTTTTTAAAAATCCATTTGATGTTGAAATTGAAGGCGCCGCGCTGAATTTACAGCTTGAGTTAATAGAATTGCAAAGCAGCATATAATAATTGTCTTCCAAACTTAATTGAATTGTAAAAAAAAGTATATTACACCCAGTCAATACCCAAACCTTACTAAGCTGGCTATTCAACAAATTTCTTTATTTGGTAGTACATATGTTGCGAGCAGCTGTTTTCTCGCATGAAATTTAACAAATCAAAAACCAGATTATCTTTATTAGATATTCATCTTAAAGGCATTTTGCGCATAGCCACTTCTAAAACTCCAGCTGACATAGATACGCTATGCAAACAGAAAAAATGTCATACATCTCATTAATTAGATTTTAAGAATAAGAATATTTTTATATGCTACGGCCATAGTTACATTAATAATAATATATTAAGATTTATGTGATGTTGCTTTTTATAAATAAATAAATAAATTTTTATTTGCCCGCTACGGTTATGCAAATGCTAAACCTGGCCCTTCACAAAATTATGTTGGACGAGCCTGGTCTATGGTATACGAATTGAATGAAAAACCAATGAAATACACATGTAGTCAAAGAATTTGCCAACATTTTTTATTAAGTGGATACATATAAATGTGTGCTAGTTAATGTATGGTTTTCAATTTAAAGCAAATTTATAAAGCAATAGGTAAATAAATAAGTATGTATGTGTTAGTGCGCAGCTTTTTAAATCGTTATTTGCTGTTAAATTTGTATACATTTGTGCTCTTGAGGTTTAAAGATGCATATATGCATATGTATGTAGAAATCTGCTCAAACTCTACATATATGTAGATATGTATATTTATAAGTGCCTTACAATTATGTCTGGTATGTACTTACCCGAAAAATGATTGCTTCGCGTTCCGCTTGTGTTACTTTGCCAAAAATGTTATTCATAATTTCCAAATATTTATCACGCGTCAATGAAGTCGCCTCATCCTTATCGAAATAATCGATAAAATCGTAAAGCAGAAAGTAGGTGCCTGTGTAAGAGATTAAACAGAGAGAAGAAAATTTTCAGAAATTTGACGGAAAGCCTATTAAATTGTTGAAATGTGTATATGTTGCAGCTATATATGTACTTAGTGAGTATTATAAACATATATTAATATACGAAGGTTTTAAATCAATTTTTAATAAGGATTTGTAACACAATGGTTTGATTTGAGTAAAATGTTTTTGCTTAAGTGGTCTTTAAACGCCGCTGGGAAAGAGTAAGGCRATTCACATATGATTCAATAAACCTTATGTCATACCCATACATCAGTTCAGAAATGAAACAAGTTTTCAATTTATATAATTTCTCCTAAAAGAAGCGAACATTGGAAAATTTGTTCCACTTACAATTTCTGCAATTCTCTCTCATTCACATCCACTTCGTTGAAATTAGAACAAGAGAAGTTCAACGTCGTTATTGTATAACTTATCTAAGAATATTAGTGCCTTCTTACTTAGTGTTAAATATTAGAACTTGAAAGGTATCCTCCTTAACTTCATCGGATATACAGTGACCAGCCTTCTTGGTCGAATATATTATATGTAAAATTCGAATTGGTTCTGTAAAACCAAATACAACCATATCATAGTTTTATTCTATTATTTATATTATATGTATATATATATATTGTATATATTATAGTTATAGTAGATATTTTATTTTATTAAAGCTTACATAATAAACAAATTATTAAATAAACTAAAGTATAGTAGATAACCTGCAAAACTCTTAATGCATTTTTTTAGATGTTAGTCTGAACCTCAACAAGAACAAAGATGGACTAAATGGAAGATTAAAAAACTAGAGAGCACATAGATGTATGTGCTTTAAATTACAACAACAAAACTTCTGCATCTAAACATTGTAGCTGAAGACTAGCCTCAGCAATATATTATATGTATATATGTATGTATTAGGGTGTCAGTTGTTTCCCAAATTAATATTTTCTAATATTTCAGATTTTTTCCTAAAAAAATATATATGAAATAAAGAAACTCTTTGTTGACAGTTTGACAGTCCTTGGCCGGACAAAAATCTGGGTTCATTCCAGTTACTTCGACCCGACTGTCGTGAAAACGGCTTGTGTGTTGCTCATACGACACGGTGTACAGCAAGAATGCCTCATTACATTTGGAGTATCGTTTTAAGTTTTAAAGATATACTTTTATGGAATCAATAAGGCCGGTTTTAAAGAGCAGAAAATGTTTTAACTCAATATTATATTTCCGAAGTTTGGAAATATAAAAAATTTATTTTTATTTTTTATTTATGAGAAAATAATCATTATTTTATTTAGACAAAATTTAAATAGATTACAAATCTGTCACGTATAAATAATTATTTTAGGGCAAGATTGAAAATTTAGGGAGAGCCTGCAAAATAAATTAGCTTGGGAAATAAAGAACACCTTAATATGGGTACCCCATCAATATGGAAAAGGTCCATTTAAATTGACCGCGCAAACGGAATCGATACAAATTCTTTTTCTATTGACGCAAGACTTTTATCTGGCGATTTTTGTCATGGAAAAACGAGTTAAACAACGAGTTTTTTTTTTCAGAAATTTTGTGTTTCTAATGAAATTGCTACCACAGAGTTGTTGAAGAAGTGTTTAGAGAGTCTACGTTATTATGAAAACATGTATTTGAGTGGTACAAGGCATTTGATAATGGTGCTGTTAAAGGCGATAATATCAAAAAACGTTAAAAAAACAGTGCTTAAAGATGGTCTTGATGACGTTAAAGAGACAGCAGAGAATCTCAATATATATTATAGATTGACTCACAATGCTTTGGTTAATATATTGCTTAGTGTTTTGTTTAATAGTTTGGTTAACGTTTTGGTTATTATTTTGGTTAATGTTTTGTAATATTTTGGTAAATATCTTTGGTATGCGTGTAAATGCTAGACTCGTACCAAAAGACCGAGAAAATAGCTGAGAACGCTATGTGTATGAACATGACATCAAACTATCCAACAATCTAGCAAATGGCGCTCCAAAACTCAGTCGAAACCCAAAAAAAAAATTCGTTGAATTCACCGAAGCCATCTCAGGAAAATTGGATGAAATGATGTCATATTTGCTTTGTGTTAAAAGCTTATGGTGAAAGCGGTAATAGTTTGTATAAAAATACATGAAAGTTAAGTTGTTTGTCAGTCCGATTCAATTCTGATCAGATAATACATATACATATACTTATGCTGTCTAAAGAAATGTTAATCACACTGGCAAAAATACTAAGAAATATAAACATAAGAAACTATATTACCATATTTTATAGTTATTTTTTTGGTTTAGTTTGTGCAAGGGGTGACCGACAGTGTAAGAATAACGGTTTCTAAATAACAGTTTTCTATGTTTCTCACTCTAAAATTCATTACGTCACTTGGTATTTAGATGACCCAACCTTTTTTTCAACATTTTTGTATGCAACTAAGTCCATCAAATTGCTGTCGTTATTTTTTATATTTTTTATTTTTTTGGTTTTGCATTTCAATGGAATTTTTTCCGAAGTTTTCGTTTTGAATGAAAAAAAAATTTCCACCATCAACTGACGATTTCAATATTTTCAGCACATTTGCTTTTACAGCAAGTTTCGTTTATTTATCTGAGTTTGTCTCTCAGTTTTTCATTTCACAAAATTTCATTTCCCACTAAGCGTCCCCCAGCGGGATTATGCGGATGCGGTAAACAGCGCAACGCCGCAGGACACACAACAAACGGGTGGCAACGCCGCAACGCTAAAACGACAAACAAACAAATCAGCAAAGCTTAACGGTTCGCGCTGCGACCAACCGCCGATGCCAAGGACGTGAAGAAACGCTGAAAATTAAACGCAAATTGCTAAAGAGGCAGGTGTTGGGGGGTGGGGGAGGTGGCAAATGAAAAGCAGGAAGCTTGACGAATTATCCGAAAAATGTGACTTATTGGTTTAGTGATGTTGAAAAGTCAGTATGTTTTGTTGTTGTTTTTGTTTTTGTTTTCGTTTCTATTTTCGTTGCTGTTTTCGTATTGCCATCAAAGTGCGTAACGTGAAGCTAGTACAAATTCGCAGAGTATTATGTAGCGGAAAATTTCAAGTACATACATACTTACATACACACATACAAAAACATAATTAATTATGTGCTATGGCTTTGTGTGTGTTTTTGACATTTTTCAATTATGCCTGTGAAAACGCTTTGCCCAGCAACGCCAATATAGCAGAATGCATGCCAAATTAAAACAAAAACAACAACAACAATGGATCACTCCAATGTTCAACAATAGTAAATTGTTATCAAGCATTGCCTATGGGCCACTTAACTCAATGAAAACAACAGCAACAATAGCAATAACAAACTTAAAAACAATAAGCCGAGCGAAGCGTATACGAACGTGAATGAGTGATAGAAGCGAATGCATGTCAAGGGTAATGTTATTGCAAACGAGATAAACCCCTCCAAACAAAGATCCACAAACACACATCCACATACTCTTACTACTTTTCGCAACTGCTTGCAGTGGAAAAATTGCAAATCTAATGTTACGGTTAACTCATCTTCTGAGAAGTTGTGCTGTAACCAGTGGAAATTAAATCTTTTAGTGGGTATGCGGTACTGCCTTCCAATATATGGACAGACATATTTTCTGATTAAATTGATTTTTTACAAATAATTTTGTACACATATTCAACACGAAATCACTAGAATATATTTTCCTTCTGCTTAAAATGTTACATTAAAGACTGAGAAGTACTTTTCTAAATTATTACGATGAAAGTTGAAAACTAAATTGACTCTAGTATAACAAAAAAATCGTAATTGCTGCTACAGTAAATATCATACAAATAATTTTAATGAATTTGGACTTTTCGATTTCAATTACGCGGGAGCGAAAATTTTTGATGTTTTTGATTGATTCAATTTATTCAGACCACATCCAAGACTGCCATGTACAACAACTGATGATCAACACGTCAATAAAATAAAAGAATTGGTGCTTAAGAATCGACGATTAACAGCCAGATAACAGAAGGGGCAGTGAAAACTATTTTGGAATATAATTTGGCGAAAAGGAAAGTGAAAGAACAATTGGTTCTAAAATCACATAATTTTTTCGAAAACAGCATCGCGTTAACGTCTGTGAGACAATGCTTTTCGATTTCCAGAATGTCGTGAAATATATTATTACTGACGATGAGTCTTGGATCCATGCTTACGACTCGGAAACAGAGGAGCTGTTAGTCGCATAACGTGGCAAAGGTGAGCCGAAGTCCACGTCAAAGCAGGTTAAAATGCCGATTATCTGCCGTCGATGAACCACCGTATTCGCCTGATTTAGCTCCACGTTTTCGCTACTATTTGCCAAAACTGTCCACATCTGGGCTTTTACAACCATCAGACGGTCCCATTGTTGATAATACAAGCCCGAATTAACCTTAGGTGAGCAGTTCGTTGTGCCAATCATAAAAAACAGACAGAAGTTTTGAACTTCTCTCATAATCAATCATGGCTAACCTGACCGTTTCATGTATTAAAATTCGAACCATGAGATTATTTTTTCATCAATTCTTGTATCTGCCATTACATTAGCATCGTAAGCAACTGGGTTGCTGAAAATGGTTTCTCCAGAAAATCTTGCTGAACCGAATTGATTTAATTTACTGAGAACGTGCCTGCTGACAGAGTACATAGGGCTCGTTCTAAACAGAAAGTTCGAGAAGGCATCGCTTGCGTGTACTATCACGAAACTAGTTCTTTGACAGTTCTAAAAAAATTGTGTATGTTACTACTACATTCGCTAAAAAATTAGCGAGTGTTCAACGGGCGCTGCTGTTCATAGCCGGAAGGTGTTTAGACGCGAGAGCTGCTCTTAGACTAAGATAATCTGGACAATTCGATGACTGCGAGCTGGGGCACTCAGAGCTCTCGCACACTTTAATTTCATTTTATACTTCGATTTTATAATACTTCGATTACCATACCGTTTCTCTGCCCACACAC